CGCCATCCTCACCTCCCCTATTTGTCTGTTGTATTTTTGACCTATTGTCTTTTATCACTGCAGGTTCTTGGAGGCACCAGCTGCTTCTTCAGAGGAAGGAGCACAGAGCCTTGCGCAGGTGGCACCACTTGGCCCTCCACAACTATGTGTGAGAGGAGCAGGTCCCACTCCAGTACCCACTGTGGTCACCTTGGTAAAAACCAGCAAGTCACCAAGACCAAACACAATCAAAACCATACAATATTCTGTAAAAACATGTCAGTATGAGGTTATAAAAAATCAATTTTCAATAAAATGTCCTTGGAATACCGGGGATATACCAGGGATACTAGGGATATCACTCGTATCAGCATTCTCAGGTCAGCTTGAGCATAACCCCCTTTGGCATCCTTACAGCCAAGCAGCTAAACAAGACACTGGAATCTTACTAAGGCACAGCAGGGTCCCTCAGGCTAGCAGGAAAATTAGGAAGTTTCTCACACCATACTTTGAACTTTCACGTGTTTTTAGTGGAAACCAGAAAGCCCACGTGGGGACGTGACTTGTGTAAGTGGCATGTTCACAAAAATATGGGACTCAAGGAGCTAAGATAACCTTGCAGAAATACTTCATGGCAGCTGTGAGATGAGATCAACGCATTCTACGGCCAGGATTTTTTATTTCATAACTTCCCACAAGTCTGTGACCAAGAACCTTTGCTGGTCTGGAATAAACTTCTCTTAGTGATGCCTCTGTGATGCTAGGGCTGATTTCAAACCTCTTTGGGAAATGACCTATTTTGTCAGTTTAGACTGGTTGTATAAGGAAGACAAGTGGAATTTGGGAAAAACACATATGAAGTTACATACCTCTTACTCCTCCTACAAACAGGTAGGGCGCAGATCTCTCTCTCTCTCTTTTTTTTTTTTTTTCCTGTGGTAGTTTTGCTGTCCTGCATATCCTCTGCAGATTCTAGTGACTAAGATTCACGGGATTTTTGCCATGGGTCTTTGTAATCACTTCTGCTGAAGGAAGGAGGCTCTAGGGACACATCTTTGGACAACTCTCCAATCTAGGGACACATCTTTGGACAACTCTCCAAAACACCAGTTCTCTCCGGGCCTGCCAAGCAGCGGCCACATTTCAACACCGCTGCTGGGTGCTGGAAGACCGGCTCCGAGCTCCCCGGGAAAGCTAGCAGGCTCCCGTCCCGCAAGTCATGCAAACTGCCGTTAGATGTGTGGACCTTGACAGGAACCAGGCTCCGGCGAGGTGTGTAAAGGGCTCAGAAGCCGCCCCCAGCAGTGGCTGCTCTGTTTTA